CTCAATGCCAGGGCGCGAGCATTGGAGAGAGTGGAGGCCACGCCTTCTCCCTCGGGCCACTCATTGGAAGTCACACCCAGCTCATCCAAATCTGCGATGAAAAGGGTGACTGCTCACCAAGTATCCGCTCCCGCAACTTCTCAGACGACTCCACAAGGATAAGGAACATCTCACCAAGAACATCTCACTAAGCGACGTGTACTATCTGAAGTGGCACAGATATCGGATCCACCTGGTTTGTCTCACCATTCGTGATAAGAGCCAAGATGCTTCTTCAAGAGCTCTGGCTCCACACGATCACCTGGGATGAACCGTCACCATCTCAAGTTGGCTCACAGTGGTTCAACATCAGAAAGGATCTCACAGGCCTGGCCAGGCCCTCAATTTCACACTGGTCTAACACCAGCAGTGATTCAAAGGCGCCAAAACTTCTCTCAAAATTGGTCAAATGTCCATGCCACACTCAAGATGGACATTAACGCAACATATTCATGGACGGACTCTCAAGTGACTCTCATGTGGATCAAAACACACTCACCTTGGCGCACATCAGGCAATCATGTTGGAAATTGCGGTGTGTGGTGTGTGCTCGACAAAGGGGGATTCGTGCACATCAACTGATGGGCCACCTACCTCTGCCTCGGGCCACACCCTCACGTGCATTTCCACACTGGCATTGATTATGCTGGTACCATTGCCCATTGCTCACCAAGACCAAGCTCAACAAGACCAAGCTCAACAAGACCAAGCTCAACAACCATAGGAGTGGACTCATCATCAACCTCATTGCTGATGGCGGGCGGAAATGTTTGAGATTCCTCCAGGTATCTCATTTGGTACTACCCTCGCCATCTCACGGTGATTCGTGAGGCCCGGTGGGACCGCGTGCGCGACCGCGCGACCGTGTAACAAGCACGTGACGGGCACGTGGAATCGGCTCCCGGGCTTGCGCGCAAGCTCAGAGAGCACCAGACGTCGTGAGAAAGTCGTCGTTGTAAGCTGTGGTAAAGTTCGCATCGGCTGACGAAAAGTATCGCGCTCGCGCTCACGGGTTAGCTCACATTGACAATTAGTGCTCACTCAGGGACAGACTCATTAGTTAAGTGCTCAAATCGAGTGCATCGGTGTTCTGCGCAAAGGCCTCTCACTTTGTAAGTGCACGCACGCTTGTAGCCGGCCACCGGCTCAACGGGCGGCACACCCCCGACGGTCTTGTGCGAACAAGAGAGCTCGACGGACTCGCTCACCCAAACTTATACGACAAGTAACTCTCACCTGTATATAGTGTACATACAATTAAACGTTCGACTCATTTTTAAGAAACGGAATAGTAGTCATTCTCGCCACGTTGCACGTCCTTTCTCACCCCCCGATCCACTCGCAGCGCTCACGGAGATTTCACGATCTCTCGATCTCATGACGAGATTCGAAAGTGAGGAAATTTCCCAAACACATGATATTAATTTAATAAATATATAAAATGACCATGATACCTTGTCTTCACTAATATTTTTTTAAATTTGTGAATCAAATATCCGACGGCGATTTAGTAGAAAATTTCTTGATTAAAAACTTTTCATACATAATTATGTATAAATAGCTATATGGGGGTAATTACGCCAAATTGTGTATGAGATATATCCATACCATAACTGTATTGTATAATTCTATGCGATTATATCTATACATATATAAAAAATACTTAAGAGAGATCGGAGAAAACTAACAATTCTTGTGTAGCTTGCACTAGCTTCTGGGCCATTACAAAATACTTAAACCATCAGGTATTTTCGGATCATTCAATTGATCCGTGTCAACTCGCTGTCGGATCAGATCTTTCGCCGGCTTGCCACTTGCTTATACTAACGTGGGATGATTTCTAAATACCAAAGAGTATAAGTTAGTATAAGCAAGTGGCAAGCCGGCGAAAGATCTGATCCGACAGCGAGTTAGGTTAGCATTAGGTTAGGGTCAGGTTAGGGTTAGGGTTAGTAGGCGTTGGTCTATGACGATAAAAGTGTTACGAATCGTCGCAAATATCCCGATTTGAACGGTATGAATTCATACGTTTCGCAATATCCTTTCGATTAGATGTTGACGTTATATCCTTTTGATTAGTCGTTGGTCTATGATAATAAAAGTGTTACAAATTGACACCCATACGTTTCGCAATATCCTTTTGATTAGACGTTGACGTTATATATCCGTTTGATGAGACTATGACGATAAAGTGTTACATATCGCAGGAAATTCTCTGATTTAAACGGTATAAATATATCGTTAAACGTATGAGATTTGTCAAAGTCATAAAAATCTCGAAACGTCTACTTTGTGCGTAAAGGTTGGAAGTTATAAAATTCTCGAGGCGTCGACTTTGTGCAAAAGAATGGAGCAACTACATAATCTGATGGTGTTGACGGAAGCAATAAACACCAACGCGACGGAGTTCGCCGAAAACGTGGAAACATTATCCACAATGGTGCGAGATATACAGGGTGTATTCTAATTCGCGCCCACCATTTATATAGTGATATTTCTCATGAAAAACTGAGTCGAAGAGTCCCGAACCATTTTTTCGAGTCACGCCTCACAAAGTAGTTATTATTATTTAAAAATGAGCGAATCCGCATCGCTTTTTAAACGGACGCACGTTCGTGAGCCACGCGTCTACTAGTGTGCGTGAGTGAGTCGCCGCGCGTCTCAGCATTGCCACGGCCGCGTTCACGTAGCTCCGAAATAATCAATAATTGCTTTTTGCAATGAGCATGATATTTTCTACCCAGGAAGCACCTTTTTAGATTACAATTTGATATTAGTTGTACTTTCACATAAGAAAATTGTAAAATGAAATAACTGTCAT